GGCCCCAAGGCTCTTCAGTGGGACAGGGGACAGAATCGCAGGGAGGTGCAGCCTGAGCTGGGTGACAGGCAGGGATGGCTTCCCAGACTTCAGGCTTAGTAATTTGGTTCTGAAAATGAGCCACTCACTTAGAAGGCTCTGTAGGAGTTGGGATAGCTTATTTTAATGAGTAGTTAGGGAAGAATTTGCCATGCAACCCTCTCTGTTGGACAGTGAATGCTTATTTCGCTGGCCAACAGATTGGCGTCTTCATCTCCCTTGTTGAGACCAGCCCTTAAAGAGAAGGAAATGACGGTTTCCCCGTCATCCAGGAAGGATTTATACACAGATGGTTGTGCAAAAAAATAATAACCCATTTTCAGTTTAGCAACTTAAGAAACCCCAGAATTTTACTTGGTGCATTCTCTTTTTCCCCTTCTCTCTGTCCGTATTGAAATATCTTCTGGGAAAGTGGTGTGATGCACACAGAAACAGTCTTTCCCTGTTCCTGGTGGGCAGTCAGGCCATGTTCAGTGACCCCTTTCACAGCTATTTCTTGGCTGAAGCCAGTCAGTTGGCCCTTCCAGACAAATGCAAGCAGAAATTTCACAGAAAAACTTCACAGGAAATAATTTTTTTACCTGATCCCTAAGGACACCATTTCCACGCAGGGGGAAATGGTTCATCGATGTGTACAAAATGGCCCAAGGGCGTTTTCTGTAATCCTTTCTGCTGATGAGCTAGCAGGTGGTGCAGCACCACTGCACAACACGAAAAGAAATGTTCTGTGGTGGATGAAAACAATGCACCGAGCTATCTCCACCCAACTGAGATGGGCACCCGTCTACTTCCATCTGACAGAGCTATGTCTCCCCTTCTCCTATGTGTCCCCATGCCAGATGGCATTTCTGCTTGTTTATAGTTCCCTTTGGTTATACCAGAGCATCTCAGTTGCAGCTCATGCCGGAAGCATCCTCGCAGCCCTACAAAGGAACCAGGGATAAGATGATGCCTACCAGGGCTGATGCCTACCAGGGCTGATGCCTGCCAGGACTAGCTCCTGCCTTGGTCCCCTTGGCCCAAGTTGCATGACCAAGGACCAAGGGTGCAGAGCATGCATGGGCCACCATCATCCAGAAGACTTTGATGCTGGCACTGTGTCTGTGCCTCATGTGGGCTTGCATGCAAACAACGCAGATGGGCAGCAAATCTGGAGAGGAGAACAGGCTCAAGTCTGCACTTAATGGCCAGTGTAAACATCCCCCTCTTTGCAGAGTCAGCCTCAACTGTCTCTCTGCTATTCCCCACTCCCATTTTACCACCCAACCTCCTGACCTTGCAAAAATATGTCTCTGAAGAGTCAGAGCTCGGACCTGGAGCAGATACTGATGCCTGGGATCAGGGGTGGGTGGCCTGAGGGCTGGACAGTGCAACATTCCTGTACAGGGTCTCTGGTTGAGATAAGGCAGCCCCATGCTGTGATTTACTCCAAGGAAGCAGAGTTCAAGTGAATCCTGCATGTTCTCTGTCAGACAAGGCAGGAAAAATCCTTTAGAATAAAAACCTTTCGATCTGTCAGTAATGGTTTGCTTTAGGAAAACATCTAATTATATACAGCTAAAAGCACCACGCTGGTCTGGACCACAAGCCATCGCTCACAGCCTCCAAGCCCAAACGCACTGGAACGTAGCAGGGACTGAGCTCATTTATCTGCTTTAGTTAACCCTGGGCCAAATCCTACTGGTTTTGCAACCTTCTCCAGGTTGGGCTTCAGTAGCAAAGGTGGGGCAAAGAGCAGCAGTGCTTCCAAGTGAGAAGAGCCTGTGTGAAGTGCTTGAAGTCCCTGTTGAGGGTCCGGGGAGGGTCAAGACTTCAGAAATGAATTGATCTTCCCCACCAAGGTGAGCATACACCTACCTAAAGCCAGCAACTCCAAGTGCAGCTGCTTTGGGCCAGCTGGGAAGAGAGCAGCGAATGCTAAAACAGAAGAGTGGCCTCCATCCCTCAACACCCGCCCTGAAAGCTGGTATAAGTGGCCTTTCTCTCCTAAAACCACTCTGACACAGAGTCTAGAGAACAGACCTGCAGTGGGGCAGCAGCAGGTTCTCTCTCCTGCCAGAGAGGTTTGAACCTGCAATTGCCCCCATGCAATGTGGGGGCTTCTAGGTCCGGACAACAGGCAAACCGAGGTTTTAGGATTGCAGTTCTGGGCTGGAATGCCTTATAACCAGTCTTTTAAACTTTTTTTTTTTAAATCTCAAAATTACTGTATCTACAGTATTTGAAAAGTCACAACCCATCCACAAAACAGCTGGCTGGAAAGAGGGCATGAGTTCCCAACCCAAAGATAACACAGCCAGAGTCTGAATTCTCTCTCCAGGGGGAATTTCTTCAGGCAGCTCGGCGGGAGGATGGTGTATATGTCCCCACCAGCCCAGCCTGCTGTTTCCCTCACCTAATCCTTCACATTCCCACCACGCTGCACCCACTGAGCCAGCCCTGGGTCTGGGGAAAGCAGAGACCCAGCCACACCAGTGTGCAATCCCCCTGGCCAGTCTCCATGGAGGGAAGACTCTTCCAGTTCCATAGCACATCCCCACTGGACTGCAAATATAACCCTAAGGCTCACAGCTAAGAAAAAGTAAAAGCAATGCCACCGTTAATGCTCTGCCTCTACTCCCTCTACACCTGCAGTGCTGGTCCTTGGGATGCCTGGTCCAGATGCCACCAGCCCCAGTGAGAACTCAGAGCTACCAACCAGCCGCTTACACCAGATGCCACCAGATGCAACTTGTTCTTCCTTGCATCCCTCTGGCTTGGAGCCAGCCCATGGCTCAAGATCCTTGCCTAGGAAATGCATTTCCAGCACTGGTGGGTAATTGTTGAGAAATACGTTTGAATGAGAGAGGAGCCCAGATTAGTCTGAGTTATGACTCCACATCTAAGGTCACACTGAGAATGTGGTATCAAACCCAGGACTGAATTCTTTTAATATATAAAAAGCCTTCATCCAGCACAACAGATGACTTTGGAATTTGAGCACGCACTTCTTTTTTCCCATATATTTTCTTACGCAATTTCTTCTCCCTAGAAGAACACCAAGTTCTCTCCTTAGTTTTTTAAACAAACCAAAAGAGGTAATACTAATAATCTGGGCCACAGCCTGCGACAGTTGCTTTCGTTGCTTCAGCGTGGGACGACAAATGGTCTTAACCCTCTCTAAGGAAGCTCATTGAAACGAATCAGGTAACAAATAGAAAACATACAGTTTACGCGCCAGCATGCAACTAAGAAATCTTCCCTTGGTGAAACAATAGGGCCATTGTGTTCCCCATCCGAGCAGTCGGTAAACTCTACTAGTCCGGGGCTGTAATGAATTAAAGGCTTTTCTGCAGCAGCTACAAGTGCTGTTCGTTATGAAGAAAAGCGTGCTGTCTGGGCGTCTGCAGCACGCTAAATGCATGTGTTCGTGTTCCCAGCGTAGTCAAAGCTTGCAAAATAGTGGAGTGGAAGGTGATTACAGACCTGAGTGACTCAACTCTAAGCCGATTTCTCCCGTTTCATAGGATGTTGTTTCTCAATATCACGGTGGCAGGAACGCTCACAGCCCAAAGAGCTGCTGCTTTGATAGCAGAGCTTGAGAGCCTGGTTGGGTGGACACAAGGGCACCAACAGCTCCTCTGCTACCTGGACTATCAATATTTGTGGCTGTTGGACTCTGTCATCGGAGGCTTTCAAGGCTCTGCTAAACAAAGCCATGGATGACCCCATCTAGCACTGGTGATGGACCTGCTTTGAGCAGGAGGTTGGGCTGGCAGTAGAGGCAGGACAGTAGGTTACAGGAGGGGGTATCAAGGCACCAGAGTTGACCTTTCTGCCATCGAATCATTGAGTGGCTTTGGGCAAGGTACTAAATCTTTCCTTGACTATATTTCCAGCTCTGGTCAGTCAGCCTGGTCTATATTAGATGATACTCTCCTCTTTTGGCTAGAAGGGCAGGAGTAGAAGCTATCTAGTAATGGGGTATTTCCAGTGATGTCTACACCATTGCTGGAAAGCTATGGCTATCTGAACACCAGAAACGGTTAAAACTGATCTGTTAGCACTTCTGATATGCCTGTAGTGGCAATTAGGGCTTAGTGTGAGACAGAAGAGATCAAATCCCCGTGGTGGAAATTAGGAAGTGAAATGCCAAGAACAATAACAAGAACAATGTCATGAATTTCCTCCACCACAGCACCGAAGGAGTGTGAGAGGGAATATTTTGATGGGCCTAAGTAATTCAGAGCATTGGTTTCACTTAGGAAATTCCAACTAAACATGCTCGATGCTTGTGCTTTGATTTTAAATGTTAGTAATGGTTGGAGTTGCCATCAGGGGTGTGGGTCGTTGGAGTGGATCCTGGGCTCCCATCTTGCTGCTCTGTGGGCTCCAAACCAGTAAGCAGCTTAACAGAGCTGGGAAAAGGGAGGCAAGAGCTATGAGACAGGCTTTCTCCTGCCTCCCCTTTCCCAGAGCACACATACACCATGTGTCATGTTGAAACTGGATGCACCTGCTAGAGGAGCTGTGTGGGGGCCGACATTATACACCAGTTATAAATCCTTAGGCTATCAACAGCCTTTGGTAAACATTTGGACAATCCTTCCTACCTCTCGGTCATCCAAATATTTGCATCGTGCGGGGCTGCTAGCTGTTTCCTGACATGCTGCGTATCTAAGAATATCCTCGGATCGTAGGTCGGTTCCAGCGCACCGTGATGGATGGTCTTATTGGAAG